ATATATATATATATATATATATATATATATATATATATATATATATATATTAATTTTAGTGTGTATAGTATTTTTTATATTAATATAACATGCACCTCAACGAGCTGACATTCAAAGACTGTTGACTCTTACACATTTTAAACGCTTTGTCGATAAATTTAATTACTGTTAAATTTTGTTAATTTTGTAGATTTCAGAGTTTAAGTGGGAGCGATTCTTCGTTAATTAAATATTTTGAGTTAATTCTCTTAAATCAACACAAAATAAAGTGTTAAATAACTAACAAAAATTTTTTTTACTGTGTATGTTAAAAAAATGAAGTTTTTAACTGAAATTTTTTATGAAAAAAAATTAATTTGAATCCAAAAAATAATTTTTAAGAACTTTATCGTCTTGCTTAGAGTAGAAAAATTTTTAAAACATTAAATTTTTCTTAATTTAAGTAAATTTTATTTTCTTAAAGAATTTTTCGTCTTGATTCAAGACAATGAAACTCTTCAAAATTATTTTATTGCTTAAATTGGTTAATTTTTCTTTTAAATCAACTTAATTTTTTTTTTTGCATTCAGTAGACTTAATATTCATTTAAATAGACGGGATAAATTAAAAATAAATTAATTGGCTAATGTTAAAAGCTTTGAAATTGATATATCGATTGTGTAGCATCGATTCGACTGACTTAGAAATGAATGGAATTAAATATGCATAAGATAGTTAAGATTTGAACGGACTGGCGCCCAACGTGTTACTAACCCAGCCTGAGGAGTCCGTTGAGTAAATTATTAATTATTTAACATGTCTCACGAGAAGTGTTCTATCATCTATTTATCAAAGGTCTTGAGCTCAAAATTACCAACCAAAATTATGCGCTAAATTATTATTATAACGCGTTACAGATTCCTAGTGTATGGCGATTACTATAAGCTGTAATGAAACGCAGAAAATTTAAAAAAGTGAGACAGAATTTTTTCTGATTTTTTTAGATTGAAAATTTAAAGGAATCGCTCCCACTAAAATTCATCGGAGAAGTAAAAAAAAAATAGATAAAAATTACTTTAATGCAAAAAAAAATTTTATCAACAGAAATAATGTATACGAAGACGGCAATTAACACCAAATATTTTAAAATGGATATATCGAGTTATTAATTAAAAATTATAACTTATAAAATTAAACAAACAATCAATAAGCTAGAGTAAGAAAAATGATATTTATTGTTGAAAATAAAAAAATTTGTCGGCTATTTTACATAGCAACATTAATTGCACACTACAATAAAAGCATTTTTCTTTACTTATTGTCGTTTTCAATGAAAAAAAAAATTAAAATAACGAGATGTTGTTGGTCGTTGGTGTGACGGTGAATCGATCGATCACTCATTGAAAGCGTATAAATAAAAGACATAAAAATAGGAATTAATGGGGACATTACGCTGTTGAGAGGGAATAATAATAATAATAATGGTAAAATAATAATAGTAATAATAATTTTTATCGTTGGAATAAATGTACAACGAGACAAAATGAGAAATCTTCAATAAATTCGTGAATAATTTAAACGACGCGGTGAAATAATTTATCGCGAAAAACATTTTATAGTTGAAAAATAATGAACTATTAAATAAAAGATGTAAGCGGAAAAATACTAGCGCAAGTTGTAAATAATAATAAATAAAAATAAAAAAGTTCATACTGATTATAATTATAATTATTGATTGTGAATTATGTTGTAAGAAAGAGCGACTGATAATTAATTAAAATAATAAATTGTGTGTGATTGAAAATAGAGATGAAGAATGTTAATTGTACTGTAAAAATATCTCTTGACGTGGCTATTGTTTAAATGAATGTAATGTAATAATAATTATGAAAAAAAAAAAAAAAATGAAATAATGAATATTAATGGGGTGCAGAGTAATTTTTTCTGTTGTTAGTTTCCTTCCTGTTTTCTCCGCCTGTCTATTTTTATAAATTAATTTAAATATATTTTTATCAAGCTCTTTGTAGACTTGATAACCCATTAGTTTTTTCGCTCGACGAATACTCAAGGCTAAATTAAATGGAACCCGTTTCCATCGGGCGGAAGATGAAAAGAAGAGAAGAAGATGAGGAAGCGGGAGAAAAGCTGAGTCGAGTAGAGAGATAGCGGATAAAAGCATAAAGCTAAAG